AGGACCTTGTCTATGTATGTACTTTGACTGAGACCTAACAGCTTCCGTGATCTATCCCTATAGATCCTTATGCCAAGTGCATAACTGGCATCTCCCAAGTCCTTCATAGAGAAACTCTTACTCAACCACGTTTTGACGGTGGTTAAAGTAGGAATATCGTTTCCTATGAGCAGTATGTCATCAACATACAGAGCAAGGAAGACTACAGCACTCCCACTGACCTTCTTGTATACACAAGATTCATCCGAATTTCTTTCAAAACCAAAGCCGATGACAGTTTCGTGAAAGCGGATGTTCCAACTCCGTGAGGCTTGCTTCAATCCGTAGATTGATCGCTGCAACTTGCATACCTTGGTAGATTCTTCAGGAGCGCAAAACCCTTCAGGTTGTGTCATAAAGACATCCTCAAGGAGGTTTCCATTAAGGAAAGCCGTTTTGACGTCCATCTGCCAGATTTCGTAATCATGGTATGCTGCGATAGCAAGTAAGATCCGAATGGATTTAATCATGACAACTGGAGAAAAAGTTTCGTCATAGTCGATACCATGTATTTGACGATATCCTTTTGCTACCAATCGTGCCTTGAAGGTTTGCACCTTACCATCTATGTCAGTCTTCTTTTTGAAGACCCATTTGCACCCAATGGGTTTGATCCCTTCGGGTGCATCAACCAAAGTCCATACTTGGTTGGTGTACATGGAATTCATTTCGGACTGCATGGCTTGACGCCATTCCTCAGCCTCGGGACAACTGATTGCCTCGAGGTAGGTCTCCGGCTCATCCTGGCCGATAAGCATTACGTCACCCTCAAAGGTTAGGAGGAAACCATACCTTTCAGGTTGTGTGCGTAACCGGTTAGACCTACGGGGTTTTTTGTGTATCTTGAGCATTTTGAGGTACAACAGTTTGTTCCTCTAGCTCATGTTCCAGAACCGGCGCGGTAGTTTCTTCGTCGTCTCGAATTTCTTCGAGCTCTATCTTTCTCCCACTAGTTGCGTTGGAGAGAAATTCCTTCTCGAGGAAGACACCATTGCGAGCAACTAATACCTTCTTATCGATAGGGTGATAGAATGAATACCCTCGAGTTTCCTTTGGGTATCCCACGAAGAAACACTTATCAGACTTGGCGTCAAGCTTTCCATTCGTCATAAGACGTTTGACATAAGCCTCACAGCCCCAAATCTTTAAGTGTGACAGAACCGGGCATTTGCCCGTCCATAGCTGGTATGGTGTTCCTTCAATCGCCTTGGTTGGAACTCGGTTAAGAATATATATTGCAGTGCTCAGCGCATACCCCCAGAATGATTCTGGTAGAGTCGAATGACCCATCATAGAACGAACCATGTCAAGCAGGGTTCGATTCCTCCTTTCAGAGACACCATTCCATTGTGGAGTCCCAGGAGGGGTGTGAGTTGGGATAAAATCCCATGCTCTCTAAGATAGTCATCGAACTCACCACTTAAGTATTCTCCATCTCGATCGGATCGTAGTGTTTTAATACTTTTGCCAAGTTGTTTTTCAACTTCATTCCTGAATTCTTTGAACATTTCAAAGGATTCTGACTTGTGTTTCATGAGATACACATAGCCATATCTACTGAGGTCATCAGTAAAAGTGATGAAGTATGAATAACCACCTCGTGCAGTTGTATTGAAAGCCCCGCACACATCACTATGAATGAGTGCCAGAAGATCACCAGCTCTTTCACCGTGTCCGGTGAAAGGAGATTTGGTCATCTTACCCAATAAACAAGATTCGCATGTGTCATATGATTCAAGATCAAATGACTCCAGCATTCCCGACCGATGTAGCTTGGATATGCGTTTCTCGTTTATATGGCCTAACCTACAATGCCATAGGTATGTTTGGTTCAAACTGTTCGGTTTGTTCCTCTTGGCTGATATGTTATAGACAGGCATGTCCAAGTCAAGGACATATAACCCATTGGTCATGTTGGCATTAGCATAGAAAACATTCTTTCTGTAAACGGAAAGGGACTTGTCTTTAATAGAAATGATGAAACCATTCTTATTAAGACATGAAACAGAAATAATGTTTCTGCTAATTGCAGGAACGTACAAGCAATCGTTTAATTCCAACATTAGACCACTAGGCAAGACTAAACTTTAAGTTCCGATTGCCAAAGCTGCAACAGGTGCACCATTGCCGACTCGGAGTTCAATCTCGCCTCGAGCTAACCGTCTACTCTGCTTCAGTCCCTGCATGGTAGTACAGATATGAGACCCACATCCAGTATCTAGTACCCATGATGAAGATATAGACATGTTAACTTCTATAACATACACCTCAGAAGAAATGATCGTACCTTCCTTCTTCTTGGTTGCGAGGTATGTCTTGCAGTTTCTTCTCCAGTGGCCTGCCTTACCACAGTGATGACATTTGCCCTTTGCAACTCCTCATATGGGTTTCTGGGTTGCAGATGAAGTGGACTTCGATTTAGGCTTTCCGACCGTCCTAGCCTTAATCTTAATCCCCTTCTTTGGCTTCCCCTTTCCGCCTTGGACCATAAGGACGGAAGCACCCTTGCCCTTAGTAAGGTTCTCCTCTACAATCTGGAGCATTTTAAGAAGCTCCAGAAGGGGTTTGTCAAGATCATGCATCATGTAGTTCATGACAAAACCCTTATACAGCTCAGGGAGCGACTGCAGGATCAGGTCCGTTGCCAACTCCTTCTGCAAGGAGAACCTGAGTTTCTCCAGATTGGTTATGTAACCAATCATTTTGAGAACGTGCGGACCGATCGGGTTCCCTGAAAAGAGCTTGCAACTAAAGAGAGCCTTACTCACGAGAAAACGTTCATGGCATAGCTGCCGCAAGGCCACGATCATCTCGTGGGCCTTCATGTCCTCGTGCTGTTTTTGCAGCTCAGTTATCATGGTAGCCAGCATGACACAGCTAACCTGGTTGTCATCCTTAACGTGTTTCTCGTAGGCATCTTTGACCGCTTTCGGGGCATTAGCGGGAGGGGCAGGAGGAATGGGCTTTTCGAGCACATACTCTTTCTCATCCATGCGGAGAACAATGCAGAGATTGCGTTGCCAGTCAACAAAGTTTGTTCCGTTCAATTTATCTTTATCTAGAATGGAACGCAGGGCGATGTTGTTTGTGTTGTTGTTTGCCATCTACAGAATTTTGCAAAAATAGTTATTATCATGAATTAAGTATCTAATAGGTCTTTATTAAATACTCTCCCACTATTTCTAACAAGTCAACTACCCTCAGGTACGGAACCTATTGACTTGGGGTTTCTATTTGAAGAATACCCTAGCGGGCCAAGATCCATATTTTATTTAACTATAGTTGTGCTTTGCATCTTGCCCTACAGTTAAATTATTT